AAGAGAGCGCGGGGGGGCCGGGGAAAGAGAGGCGAGAACCAGGAGAGAGTGAGAGATACGAGAGAGAGAGAGACGTATTAAAATAAACGCCCAAGCGAGATCCATTCCCCACCACGGGGACTGCGGAGAAGTCGCTCCTGCCTGCCACTTCCAGGGAAACGGCAAATTCCTGCAGGTGCCAGCAGGGAGTGGGATGGGAGCCTGGGGACGGGAGCCCGGGGATGGGAGCCCGGGGATGGGAGCCCAGGGATGGGAGCCCGGAGCCAGGAGCCCGGGGCTGAGCCCCGCTGCCGCTGCCCGGCTCTGCCCTGTGCTGGCTCTCCCGGGGGAGCTGAGCTACGGGACGTGCTGGGCTCTCCTCTGTGATGGTCATCAACCCCAAGTTTGTGTCCCCACCTGCAAACCCTTCCCTCGACGGACCAAGACACAAGGCAGGGTGGAGGGTCCCTGGCCTTGCTACGGTGCAGGGGAACACGTTAGGGGACAGGATGGCCTCTGGTGGCCCTGGATCTCTGGGCACAGACCCGCTTCCGTGCCCGAACCCAGCTGGGGACATCCCCACCCCAACCTGCACCTGCACCTGACTCAGCCGGCTGGGTCGTGGACCTGGTCCCCAGCCCGCAGCTCCCGCCCCCCTGCAGCTGCCCCCACACCCCCTCCCCTCCCCCCGGGAGGGCAGCCCCCCGCTTCTGTCCCTCCCTGGCAGAGCAGAGGGGTAGGAGAGGCAGAGAGAGAGACAGAGAGAGGCGTGAGGGACAGACAGATGGACGGAGATGGAGGTGAGGGAAGGAGACGGATGGGAAGACACTCGGATTAGAGCGTGGCGGATGGGAGCAGACGAGCTGGGCGCTGGCCGGGACCCCAGGAGTAAACCCCAGCACATCGGCACAGGCTCCGTCCCCGTCCGCTCTGGGGCCAGCAGGTCTCGAACTCATCCGAGTCATCGGAAAACCTTTGGGGCAGGACAGCCGCTCACTGGCACAGCCCTCGCGCGTCCTCCGGCACAATAGACCCACAGTACAGAGCTAATGGAGCGTGGGGGTGGAGGAGGTCTCAGCCCCCCGGCCCCTGTCCAAGGACATAATAGCAGAACTGACATCTGGGCGAAGCCGGCCAGAGGCTGGGGATGCTTGGGGAGGAGCGGCGCGCGATGCGGGGACGCCAGGACCACAGGGCTGAGCTAATATCCCACAGCCGAAACCTCCTGGGACCACGGGCCGCTGCCAGCCCTCGTCCTACCCCCCCTTACCCGCAGGCTCCCACGTGGACACTCTTGAGGACCTTCCCTGCCCGTGCACGCCTCGGCCCCGCACAGGGACCCAGGAGCCCTCATTGCCACCGGGACTGCCGGACCCACGTCACAGCCCGGCCGGGCCCCCGGGGCTGATGTCCCCTCCCCACCGTCCCCGTCGGTCCCTCCATGCCGGCGAGCAGGATGGGTTTGGGCAGGGCTGAGCGCTCCCACGGTCCCGCTTCCCCGGGCACGGCGACCTGACGCAGAATTAGCACCCACCAGCTTTTCTGGTGGGGACCTCCTCGAGCTGCCGAATTCTGGGGAGCACAGAGCCCCCCCCAGCACAGGCGGCGGGGCCGAACAGGACCCCGCAGCCCCGCAATCCCGCGCCATTATCGACATCTTAACGAAGGTCTGGTTAAGTCCATACAGAGACGCACAGCCCCAGCGCTCTCTGCTGAAAGCATCCCTCAAGCAGCCAACTCTGGAAGAGCAAGACCTCAAAAGAAACCCCGTCGGCATGACTGTGTCCTTGAGGATGGGCACGAAGCGCCCAGGAGCTGCCTGCAAGCGGCATTTTCCAAGCCCAGCCGGCCCCTCGTCTCCTCGGCAGGGAGGGTGCACCAGCGCCCACCCTTCCCACCCCCAGCACCTCTGCCCACGGATGGGGCTCAGCATCCCCTGGGCGCAGCAGCCCAGTCCTGGCCTCGCCTCGCTGTGCCGGGGAGGACAGAGATGGAGGGATATGTCGGAGCCCATCCTCTGGGCTGAGGACCACCTCCATCCCTGAGCCCCAAACCGGGGTGCTCCAGAGCCCCGCTGCCACAAACCCAACCCAAACCCTGCGTCCTTCAGCCCCGCGCCCGTCTGAGCCCACTGCGGAGGCTCCAGGGCTGGGAACCCACCGCCAGCTTTCCCCCGCCTCTCTCCCCGCTCTCTGCACCCTCCCGGTTTGAGCGCATCACCTCCAGGTACCCCGAGATGCTGACGGGCCTCAGAGACCCTCCCCAGCCGCACGCAGATTTCAGTGCAAAGGGAAACTGAGGCACAGGCGGCCCCTGCAAAGCTCTCTGTGTTGCAAAGCGCTCTGAATCGCAGCTCCTAACACGGCAGGAGGAGGCTGCAGGACATAGAATCACAGAATGGTTTGGGTGGGAAGGGACCTTTAAAGCCCATCCAGTCCATCCCCCTGCCATGGGCAGGGGCATTTCCAACCCGATCAGCTTGCTCAGAGCTCTGTCCAACCCAACCTTGAAGGTTTCCAGGGATGGGGCATCTCCCACCTCTCTGGGCAACCCCTGCCAGTGTTTCACCACCCTCAGCGTGAAAAATTTTGTCTTTCTATCTAGCCTGCCATCACGCCGAGCAGCACCAGCCAGGGCAGGGTGTCAGTCGATCGCTTACCACCCTTGCTGACTTTGGAGCCAGCCACCTGAGCAGAGGCACAGCCCCGTCACCGCGCATCATGGAAGAGCGAGCGGAGGCGTCGGAGCACCCTGCAGAAGGAAGGAGCGAGCTCCAGGGAGGGGGCAGCCGCAGCAGGGTCCCGCTCGGCGCTGGCGCAGCCGGTGCAGCCGAGGGAACGGCCGCGGGGAGCCAGGGGCTTTCCGAACACAAGGACCAGGAGGCATCAGGTGCGGTCAGCAGGTAGCGGCTGGAAACCTGAGCACGGCAGGAGGCAGAGCCTCTCTGGGCAGCACAGATGGTGTTAGCCCCTGCCACAGGGCGCCCAGGAAGCCGAAATGCAACGGGGCTGAAGAAGAGACTCAAAAAATCCCGTGGGAGAACAGAGCCATCAAGAGTTAACATGATGATGGGGGTACCTCCTCGTGGTGAGCCCTCCCTAAGGTGCCGGGAAGGCATGGCAAGGACGGGAGCACCTGACACCCCACGTACTGTTTTCTCTACTCCTCCACCACTGGCCACCAGTAGAGACAGGTTCGTCATCCCTGGTGTCCCCTACGGTCAGCTCTTACGTTCTGCTTGTCTTCTACAGGTTGTGAAAACAAGCATGGCTCACTAAAAGCAAAGGGTCCTCATCAGGGTCTCCAGAGGTCTGTTCGAATCCCCCTCCACCTCTGGCTTCCCATGGGACCTCATTTTTCCTGGGTGTTTCGGCTTTTGTTCTGTGCTGGGTCTGTGCTGCTGCCTCTCCTGGGCGCTCCTGGCCAGCTGGGGAGGAGCTTTCCCGGGGCAGCAGTCATCTGGTTGGGTATGGCGCTGAATACCGGCGATTCAGAGCAATACAGATGGGCAAGTCCAATAAATAGATCGATATAAATTGAAGTGGATATTGACGCGCATGAATTTCTGGTGCTGAAACCCAGAAACACCAGCGGGGACGTGAGGGGAAACGCTAAAGGACAGGAGGGTTGCAGTGACACCGGTCTCGACCGCCCCGACGTGGGGTTCGGCTGGGGAAGGGTGGCAACACGGTCCCCAGGGGAAGAGGACCCACTGGGTTCCTCCTTCCCAGTGCTGCTGCTGGGAGACCGTCCCAGCGATACCCTCTGCTCTCGCTCCTTCGCTAGGGCGGGCTGATGCCCTCGTTGATGCTCGCACCTCCGTTTATAGGTACAGATAGCAGCTTTCTGTAGCCCTCCCGGCCTTCATCCTACGTCTGATCCTCTTGCAGGGGGTTCTCCCGTCCTTGACCCACCTCGGGGGTTCCTCTCTGCGCCCGCCACCCTTGAACGCCGTGCCCCAAGCTGAACGTGCTACGCTGAATAAGGTTTCCTCAGGCCTCGTAGACTGACATGAGCTCTCCCCCATCTGCGCTGGTGACATATCAGATGAGCAGGATCACGTTTGCCTTCCTGGCTAAAGTTCATATACAGCTTGTCATTAATTAGTAGATCCATGTCCTTTTCATCCTCCGTTATGATCAAGCCCCGAGTTCCTATCACTGGAGATGTAAATAAGCTCGGCCAGACGCCGCCCGTGACAAGTCCATGAGTAATTTCCCTCCGGCCTCGATCCTTCATCTTTCAGCAATATCCTCTCCCCTCGGCTACAGTTCCTCCTCCACACTGCAGGTTCTCTGCTCCTCTTTTGCTCCGGTTTCATTCACGAGCGCCCATCAGCCACCACAGCGAGCGCTTTGCCAAAGTCTGCTTTGATGAGATTGGCTTCATTTCCTTCTCTAAAAAAGTCTCCAAAGACACCCTTCCCGTAGGAACGGAGAGAAAGGCCGGTTCCCAGATGTGTCACTCGGGGGGACAGCCAGGAGAGCCGGCTGGGGAGGGCAAGGCGGGAGTGGAGAAGCCTCCCCCTGCTCCGGAGGCGTCCTGGGAAGATCCCATGGCTCCCGGCGGCTGCACGTCCCGTGCCTGGGGCTGTGGGATCCAGGACCGCACGTGACAGGCCGGTCAGGTCAAGCCTGGATGCAGCCAAATAGACAGCAGCCTGCGTTTGGATGTGACCGAGGAGCAGGACATGAGAGGTCATGCGTTCAGCAGAAAAGGAAGGCGACTCTCAGAGGATGGGGAGGAGGCAAGCCGTACAGAGGAGATGTCTCCGAAAGCCCTCGGAGACATGGCATGCAAACAACAGCATGATGCCGAAGGTATGAGGACAAGCACGACTGCAGATTTATAAATCCATCTGCGTGTTTGGAGAAGGAGTCCT